AAAAGTAATGTAAAGAAAGAGGCTTTATTGAAAATTTACTAAAGCCCTTTGAGTTGAAAGCCCCAACTATTTTTTTTCCAATGTAGAAGATTTTGAATAAATTCTGCTTTGTAGGATAAGATATATGGAGATATCGAATATTATCCAAGCTCAAAAGTCCATTAAACAATAAAAATTACAGTAGAAGATGGATTTTAAAACATCAGAGGTGGGATTAGGTGCCATGGTGGAGTGAGTACCCCCTGCAACCGGTCACACCCGCTGTGTGCTCCTTGTCATGATCGGGAGCATAACGGGAAAATCCGTTGACAATTGGCAGTGTTTAAATAATGGCATATCAATAAGTATGAAAAACTTAAGTCAGTATTTGACTCAATGTAAATTGCATTTACTGACAGGGTCATTGTATCGACCATAGAACTTACGAAATGATTACTTTAAACGAGACTGCTGGTATTGTTGATTTATCAACTTGTTTGTAAATAATTTACCTCATTTTAGAAATTGTTCATACGTTAAGTATGCTCTTGCATAGCGAACCAATTTAGATATATAAACTCCGTATGCAGGTGATGAAGGTATATTGCTGCATAAGTGAGGGAAGTCATCACGTTTATCATAGAGCTTGCTTGTAAGATAACCATTAACGTCTTTTTCAAGTAAAATATCCAAATATAAAACAAATGTGTCAGACTCTATGGTATTTTTTTATGTCAAGCTCACCATAATATATCGTATCGACATAGGAATAGAAAATACATTTTAATTGACAATACGGCGTCGATATATCTAAATGAGTTGAAGGCCACGCCAAGTGATCCCTAACAAAAAAATACTATAGTTAACTATAGTTAACTATAGTTTACTATAGTTAACTACAGTAAATCAAAGTGTCAAAGTTTTTCAAAGTGTCAAAATTTTCGCCAAAGTTTTTCAAAGTGTCAAAGTTTTCGTCAAAGTTTTTCAAAGTGTCAAAGTTTTCACCAAAGTTTTTCAAAGTGTCAAAGTTTTCGCCAAAGTTTTTCAAAGTGTCAAAGTTTTCGCCAAAGTTTTTCAAAGTGTCAAAGTTTTCGCCAAAGTTTTTCAAAGTGTCAAAGTTTTCGCCAAAGTTTTTCAAAGTGTCAAAGTTTTAGATAAAGTTTTTCAAAGTGTCAAAGTTTTTGATAAAGTTTTTCAAAGTATCAAACTTTTCGATAAAGTTTTTCAAAGCATCCAAGTTTTCAATAAAGTTTTTTAAATTTTCAAAGTTGGCGATAAAGTTTTTAAAGTGTCAAAGTTTTCTACAAAGTTTTTCAAAGTATCAAAGACTTCGATAATGTTTTTCAAAGTATCCAAGTTTTTGATTCAGATTTTACAAAGTATCAAAGACTTCGATAATGTTTTTCAAAGTGTCAAAGTTTTCGATAAATTTTCTTAAGGAATCAAAGTTTTCAATAAAGTTTTTAAAGTGTCAAAGTTTTCAAGAAACTTTTTCATAGTTTTAAAGCATCCAAGTTTTTGATAAAGTTTTTCGAAGTATCCAAGTTTTCGATAAAGTTTTTCGAAGTATCAAAGTTTTCGATAAAGTTTTTCAAAGTATCCAACTTTTCGATAAAGTACTTGAAGTATCAAAGTTTTCGATAAAGTTTATCAAAGTGTCAAAGTTTTCGCCAAAGTTTTTCAAAGTGTCAAAGTTTTCGTCAAAGTTTTTCAAAGTGTCAAAGTTTTCGCCAAAGTTTTTCAAAGTGTCAAAGTTTTCGTCAAAGTTTTTCAAAGTGTCAAAGTTTTCGCCAAAGTTTTTCAAAGTGTCAAAGTTCTTGCCAAAGTTTTTCAAAGTGTCAAAGTTTTCGCCAAAGTTTTTCAAAGTGTCAAAGTTTTCGCCAAAGTTTTTCAAAGTGTCAAAGTTTTTCGTCAAAGTTTTTCAAAGTGTCAAAGTTTTCGCCAAAGTTTTTCAAAGTGTCAAAGTTTTCGCCAAAGTTTTTCAAAGTGTCAAAGTTTTCGTCAAAGTTTTTCAAAGTGTCAAAGTTATCACTATAGTAAATCAAAGTTTTCAAAGTGTCAAAGTTATCACTATAGTTAACTATAGTAAACTATAGTTAACTATAGTTAACTATAGTATTTTTTTGTTAGGGATTCCTCCTTATCACGAACAAAGTTTGCACAAATTTTGCTTCATATGAATACAAAAATATGTCTGCTAAGAACGGGGCGAAATTGGTACGATTTCTTATAGGACTTTGTTTTCAACTATATCAACTTCACCAGTAATGAAGCATCCAATGGGATTGTGGTAGAATGACAAAAAAGAGCAACACCATGACAGAGAATTTTGTTTGAGATCTTCAATTTCTAAGTTATATAGGGTTTGCTTATTCAACCTTATTGCAACCTGGAGGACCGGGCTGCTCTATCAGTTTAAGTGTTTATATATGGGGATTGAGGTGGGGGAAGTTATTTAGAAATAAAGGTTTTTAAACATTAAAAAGATTGTTAATCAGAATATTTTTTCCCTTTATAAATTAAGAGATACCCAATATATTTACTTCCATAAAGTGAATCGATAAAAATATGTATGTTCTTCATATTTACTATATTAAGTTCATTTACTGTCGCAAAAACGACCGGTCCCTTTTGTTAAAACATCAAATTTTACTTATCGCATAAAAATGTAACTTTACACAGTTCGTGTTTATATTCTTGAAGTGAAATATATTTTTAAAACAGGTGATGCATGTGTCTGATTTTAATTTAAATTTAATACAGCCAACAGTTACTTGGGGAATTGATAAAGTTTAAAAGAGTATTGTTTTTGTTCGATTTCATCCAATTATAAGTTTTCAAAATATTTTGGACTATCGTCTCCATCATTTAGATGCATTCCTTTTTCACAAATATTGAAGCAGTTTGATGACCAAGACTCATTTCTATTGTTTTCTTTATTTATTTCCCGGGCGGCAATTGATGGTTACGTCAATGTTTTCTTGTTATTGAAATGATTGGACGCAACATTTTGAGAATATCTAGAATCTCGCAAAGAAGTAATGCAACGTGAAGACCAACTTGAAATATGATGGAATGCAAGACTGAACCTTTTTTATAGCTACGAATGTTACACAATATTAATTCCTTTGTTTGCAAATTTAATCTTGAGGAAACGATGAGTCGGGTTAGAATAAGCTTCCGACACACGTCCTTTTTTAAAGAGAATGTGCTTGGCACCATCCAGAATCACAAACCCTAGCTTGTATTCAGCAATTTGAACAGTCTTCGTATTATTTTATTAACTTCTTCAAATAGTCCTTTTAAAAATTTCAAATGAACCAAAAATTTGTACAAATGTGATGAAAGCTAGTTGCGTTTTCTTACCTTGCCCGTTGATGATTAATGGTTCCACAATTAAATAAGGTGAAAACCGATAGCAGCATTTTGTATTTATGGAAAAATGTTTATGAAGCGATGATGAGAAAATACTCTTGTTATTATCTAGCAGGATCATTGTACAGTGTATCAAGGTTTTGAATAAATATAATCTCTAGCTGAATACTGTAAGTAATTGTTGGTGCCTCTTTCGTCTTATGTCCCTTAATTCCAAAAATCTTTTGGAAAGCAAAGTTACTCCTCATAAAGGTTTATAACATTTAAATGACTGTTGTTTAATTATGAGTAATTTGAAACAACGAAAAAAAGAAAACTAGAGCTACATTTTCTTGATTACATCTGAACAACATGATTTTTTTCCATTTTATTACTCTTTCTAAACAATGATGCAATAAGTAATTAAGTTATATTTGAACAAACCGGATATTTTACATGGATTATGTCATGCTTAAATATATGCTTTATAATATAGTAATATAATTATATAATAGTAATATAGTGAGTGAATGATGTATATTTCCTTCTATTATTTAATATAAAAGTAAACCACTCTTTTTCTAGTATTTTAAACAAACAAACATGTAACAGATGACGCTTTTATTGGAACCAATCTCATTAATTTTCTGATTCATATGTAAAAATTTTCCTTGTTTTTTTTTTTAAATAAACTCTATTAATAGAACCATTCAGGAAATAAATCTCTTACTGGAAATGTGTATCGAAGAGTTTTACGAAAAAATAATTGGAATGCCCGCCTTTACTTTCAATACAGAGAATAAAATAAAACAAAACAATTTAGATATCAATTAAGAAATAATTCTTTGCTAGAAGAAATAATCTTTAAAAAGACATCCCATATCTCTCTTTAACTTTTCTCTCCCTCTAACGAACATAGCAACAGTTTGTTCTGTAAATTCTGTACTCCTATGCCACTCACAATTTTACGCCGATCTGTCTTTTTGTTCTTCTCGTTTAGTGCTGCTACCTTTTAAAGTGTTCTCTTCACGGGTCTTGTTCATGCACGTGTAGGTCTCGTTACTGGTACTGGTCTTGTAAATACACGTGTAATTATCAGAGTGGTCAGTCGTGCCTTGGATAAACTCTCCTTCGTATACAGAATAAGGAGAAGCTGATTTTTCAACAGAATAGTCGTTTTCTAAAAAAAAAATAAAAAGTTACATCAGCAATATAAATATACAATGCTGAAATGAATTTAAGATATATATATATTTTCTAAATAACTACTGTATATAGGGAAATTTTCGCCCCTGTTTTATTTTCGCCCATTTCGCCCTACTCCTGATTGGGCGAATTTAAAACGGGGCTAATTCAAATTACAAAGCATAATTTCTAAAACAATACTATGACTGTGCGAATTTAAAACTGGGCAAAATAGTTCGCAAGTGCAAAAGGGCGAAAATAAGACGGGGCGAAAATAACCCTGTATAAAGTATCTTATACCTCTAGAACTGCATTTGCAGCTTTCATTTATGTTCTTTTCATGGCTTTCCTCGTCTTTTCGGACGATTTTATGATTTTTCATGTTTCTGTAGTAGAAATAATTTTCATAAGTGTCATTTTGTACCACAATATTATAAAGGATCAATGATTTGGTTTTGTATGAGATCGGTTTGATAACACCCTTACCCGTCATAATTCCTCAGCTGTGACCAGGGTTGTTCATACCTGAGATCATCATTTTTATCATCGTCGTCTGAATCATCTTCGTCTAAATCATCACGCTGTGGCTGTTCATCTCCTAACATTATTCTACAGTAGATATTTTCAGCCCCGTCACTTTGAAGATCTCTAACCTTATGTTCCACGATTTCTTTGAGCCTTGAACCTTAAAATGAGTTTTGTTAGTTATAAATAAACAGATAAACTGATACATTGCTTTGATTTTGGCCTGGAAAGCGTCCTCTTTAAGCATACATTAAATTACTGTATCTTATTACAATATGTTCATATAATTTACTTTTAGATATGACTCCATTTTGCCCTGCTTTGTGTACATTGTTTGGATTGAGGTCATTGTAGATGTTTCTGGTTTGAGGATCTATATAGGCATCGTCACACATTGTTTTGTTTCCTTCTGCCAAACCCGGGCAATCTGTAGCAATTGGACAGTCTTCTTGCCCCTCATTCAACATGTTTTCCAGGTTTTGGATAGTTGTAATATTAGCATTTCCAGTGTGGTAAAATTCTTTGAGGAAATTCATAGAATATTTATTTTTATCAATGATGAAATTGCTAAAAAATCAATTAAATGTTTATTCTCTTTATTTTGATTGTTTCCATATTTGACAAATACCTGGTGGTTCAAACTGAATACCTCTAGTTCGGAATTTCATTTCAATGAACCTAAAATGGAATAAAATCTGGTACATTCCTTTATTATTGATAATTTGATTTGGATTGAAATGGCAATCATTAACTGATTACATGTTTTTTTTCACAAGTTGCCATATTTGTTTACCAGGTTTTGATGTAACACATCGCTCCTACGATGAACAGTGTACCGATACACCCAAAGAAGGTAAATGTTAAGTTGTTCCAAGTGGACGCAATCATTTTCTCCTTTGATTTTGATTGAGATTCTGGCGTTACTAATTTCGTCTCTGTCGATGATGTTGTATGGTCTTAACATAACATAGGAAATATTTATGATGACATAAAATTTATTTTAAGATCAGAAAAAAATAATTAGACGTGTAAACTTATTCTAAACGGACATAAGAAATTAAATATTCAAGATTTTATAGAAGGAATAGGTCTGTTGATTTCGAAATAATTTTCAAGCTTAATTTATACAATAACATGCACCCTTCTACACTCTATTTAATTAGCAAAAAGTTTAAGGACAAACATCCTAATTTTTACTGAGCGAACATAGTCTAAAATTCCTTTGAGTATAATTGTAAAACCGTTTTTGCTTGATTTATCTGGTTAAAAATGCTAGAACAAAACTATAAAATCAAGGACTGTTGAAACAACTTTTACCACTTTACAAAAAATAGGAATATGTTGAATGCATCGGATTCGAATATGGGTTACATACCTGTGTGTATCAGACATCCTTTGATGTTACTACAGTATATATCTGCACAATTACACTTGTCTTTGCACAACTTCCCAAAGTATCCTGAAGGACAAGTTCCACTGCAGTTTGTTCCAATCGTGCCTAAAGGGCATTCTATTCCAAGAAAAAACAACTTTTTTTAGTAAGCCCAAGACATCTCAATGATGTTTACAATTGGTTAAATAGTATTCACAGTCAAACATTAATATACTCACCCAAACACTGACCATTCATATTCTTGTAGTGATTGAAACAACAATTTCCATTTTTACTGTGATTAAAAATAAGTTTTAAATTTTTATCGACCAAACAGAGAGTAAAATTAAACTTTCTATTTTTTCTTCATCAAAATATTAAAGATAATTCACATACCTCTTTCTACAACATTCAACAATGTGATTTACTGAGAAAACTATGAAGATAGTGAAAATTGATAAATTCTGCATATTCCTGACAAAATATCATAACATAATCAAAACTGAGGTATTGTTACATCAGTTTTGTTCCAGCTTCTCCATATAACATTGTTTAAATTGGTATGAAACGACAATAGTTCCATTTTGTCCAAAACACTGGAGGAAGTTTGAGAGACATATTCATCAAAATTATGCAGTTTCTCTCAATGGTCTTCAAAAACTGTAATATCAAAACCACTGGTACTGATTGGTATAGCAACCTTTGTCATGAAAACCAAATTGGAAGCAGATGCATACAATATTTATGTAGTTCTACGAATCGTATATTTTATTTGGAAAATTTCAATTACCTCTTGTAATTTTCATAGGTGTACTTTCCATTTGGTATTTAATTAGAATTCGTTAGGTATTCAAGAGACACTATTTAAAAAACATGAAATGGGACGGAGGTCCGTGTTTTCTCCACTCCCCCCCCCTTTTTTTTTAATGTTTAGTGGACTTTTGAGTTAGAGTACTTTTCGTCATCTCCACATATTTCATGTTACATATTAAGTATTCACAATTACAATAGATATGATGGAAAAAAAATGCATGTATTTGCAGGATTTTTGCTGTTGAAAAAATTTATGAACACTTTTGTAATGTTCTGGACTAGAAATAAAAATTAACCTTTTGATCGTTTGTTAATCAAGTCAGGAGTGACAAGTAAACAGGGATGAAACAAGAATATCAGCAATCTCGTTTAAAGTTATCATTTCATAAGATCTATGGTCTAGCAAAAACTTTGTCAGCAAATACAATTTATCATTGAGTCAAATGCTGACTGTCGTTTTTAATACTAGTTGTTAAGGCATTATTACATGCAACACACTGAATTGACGACAGATTTTGCTGTTATTTCCAGATCATGACAAAGTGCTAGGTTCGGTCGGGAAATACCGGTGGAGATAATTACCAGTGGTGTGTACTGGTATTTCACATTCTGGTAAATACAACAAATATTAGTCAAACTGGAAAAAAACGGGTAAATGCAAAATTTTAAAATTTATTTCTTTTAGTTCGTGTAATCTTTTACAAAGTTCAGATATAAAGAAATGTAAAAACAGAAGAGGAATAGAATTGATAATCTGCAATATATTGCCTCTGAAACTTTTGTGCTCCTATTTTGAGACATATAGTTTAATTGAGTAGAACTGAAAGGATTCTTAGGAGGTTTGGTATTTAAACTATATTCTATTCCTAACTTTTTTCTTAGATCCTTCCTTATTTACATAAAAAAATCAAAATAAGATATCTTTGTGCCTTTTCCATGGACTGGTATACAAGTACACTGTTTTATAATTATTTGAAATGAAATATTAGGAAGTCGTTTTTTTTAAAATCGTGCACAGTGATACAAAGTTGATATTTTTGACTATAAGGTGTACTACTTGAATGTCTATACCCAAGCAAGATAATGAAATTCAGTTATAAACATGTAGCCATTTCTTATTTCCCAGTATTTCCAATGAATTACCAGTATTTCCAGCCGTCATGGGAGATTAATATGAGTATTTCCCGCTTTTTTGCCAGCTATGTAGGCAGTACACGGGGTTGTGATCTATCGGCAAAGGATGATCACTCCTTCGTGGCAATCGATCCAATATCTGTTGTTTTGAAGGCCAGTGCTTGCACTGTATTGTTTTATGGACTTTTGTGCTTGAATACTTTTTGTTATCCTCATATATTTCATCATTAGTAATGAGAATTTTGCCAAGTGTATTTTTAGAATCTACACATGTAGCTTAATAAAAAAGTTTTTCCTTTAAAATGTTTTATTCAAATGAATTATTGAAACAAACCCAGTCTGAATTTGATCTTGATAAATAATATTAAAATTTGTGAAAACAAAAATACTTTCAAATTACTTCGAATAGTCAATTATGTTATTTTTCTGGTGTTGAAAATTTGAAAAGCAATTAAATCATTTTAAATTATTGACAGTTTTCTGATTTTTCTCAGAATGGTTAAAATTATCTTATAAATATATCAGGTATCTGATGTTAATTTTAAGATATTACTTAAAGTTTAAATAAGGCCATTATTTTTTCAAGGACTGTCACGATATGACTGATTTATTTTCAAAACATGATGATACAATTCATGACAGTTAGTCTAAAATATATCTTAGTACCAGTATAGAACTTTTCAATGTACACAATTAGTCTTTGTACAGACTGCAAGTAAAAAAAAAGGAATACAAAATTAAATACACTGAAAAAAGGATATGGAGATAACAAACAGTATAAAATATCAAAGTCCATGAAACAATTCAAAATAGGAGCAGTGCAAACAAGGACCTCCGAAACATCAGAGGCGGGATCAGGTGCCACGGAGGAGTGAGCATTCCCTGCTGACCGGCACCACCCGTCGTGTGCTCATTGTCATGACTGTGAAATAAGGGAAAAATCCGTCGTCACTTCAGTGTATAAATAATGGACTAACAATTGGTATGAAAAACGTTAGTCAGCATTTGACTCAATAATAAATTGCATTTGATGACAAGGTTATTGTATCAACCATAGAACTTACGAAATGATGACTTTAAACGAGACTGCTGATAATCTTGTTTAATCAGCTTGCTTGTCAATAATTTACCTCGTTTTAGAAATTGTTCTGATTGTACACATAAGTACTCTGAAGTTGACATCAAGAAGATGCTTGAGTTTCTGATTGACAATATCTATGTGGTTTTTGGAGACCAGGTATTCCAACAATCTATTGGAATTCCCATGGGTACAAATTGCGCTCCGTTATTAGCAGACTTATTTTTATATTCATATGAAGCAGAATTTATGCAAAATCTTTTGCGTGAAAAGAAAAAAACACTTGCTGTGGCCTTCAACTCGACATTTAGATATATCGACGACGTATTGTCAATTAATAATGATAATTTCCATTCCTACGTCGACACGATATATCCCGGTGAGCTTGAGATAAAAGATACCACAGAGTCCAACACATCTGCTTCATACTTGGATATTTTACTTGAAAAAGACACAAATGGTAATCTAACAACCAAGCTATATGATAAACGTGATGACTTTAACTTTTCTATCGTCAACTTCCCTTACTTATGCAGCAATATACCTTCATCACCTGCATACGGAGTATTTATATCTCAGTTGATTCGATACGCAAGAGCATGCTCTACGTATGAACAATTTCTTAAACGAGGTAAATTATTGACAAGCAAGTTGATGAAACAAGAATATCAACAGTCTCGTTTAAAGTCATCATTTCGTAAATTCTATGGTCGATACAATGACCTTGTCAGCAAATACAATTTATCATTGAATGAAATGCTGACTGACGTTTTTCATACCAATTGTTAGTCCATTATTTATACACTGAATTGACTACGGATTTTTTCCGTTATTTCCTGATTATGACAATGAGCACACGGCGGGTGTGACCGGTCAGCAGGGGATGCTCACTCCTCCATGGCACCTGATCCCACCTCTGATGTTTCGGAGGTCCGTGTTTGCTCTGCTCTTGTTTTGTATATTTGTTTAATGGACGTTGAGATTGAATACTGTTCGTTATTTCCATGTCCTTATTCGTACGTAGAGCATGCTCTTGCGTCTCGAATCAACTGAGATATATACACTCCGTACAAAGGTGATGAAGGTATGTTGCTGCACATCTCGAAAAAGAAAATAATGACCATTTTTATCTAAAAATCCTTCCACCACAAAATATAGTTCCTCACTATACATGTATGTTTTAGATAAGGATTTTAAGTAAGGGATGAATAACGAGATGGTGTTGAATAGTTTAGAGAAAACATTCTCTCCAAGGGCCGGAGGCCCGAGGGGGGATGTTTTCACTAAACTATTCAACACTATCGAGTTATTTATCTTACTTAAAAAAATCCCTACTTTGGGCCCCAAGAATCATTTACCCATTCAAATATCCAACTTTCTGTAATACAATAGGATGCTGTCCATTTATCCAACCGTGATACAAAACAATAGCCTAAATCGAACACTTCTTTTATTCATGGACTAGTGAGCATGAATCTACATGATGCTGATTTCATTTCAACCCTTTTCATTTTACTGAACAGTCATGAAATTAGGCAAAGAATCTTTTAAATCCAATGTAAATTAGAGAGGTTCAGATAGTGTTTTGAATACTTTTGACCTGAAAGCTGAAGAAACTACAGAATTTTGATAAAAGGTTTGGAATGTGTCATTACATATCATAGGATGATGGTTGGTTGAGGAAAAGTGTTGAATTCTTATGGAGTTCCATTCGGACAATACTTGTAATAGTGCTTAAACAGATAAAAAGATTGGCGGTGTTATGCTGAACCTGCAGTAAAAAATTCCATATCAAGATCTGCAATAAAAATGGTGTCGAAAAATAGATTGGCTGTCAATTATTTAAGTTGTTTTGGGAAGTACGCCGGAAAAAAATGAAACAGATATGAATCTCGGATGATCTGAAGGAATTTACTAATTACAGACCTGCATTTGAAGCACGATAAATGTGATAAATGCAAAGAAATGCAAATTCCGTATGTGCTGGAAATTAATTCAAATAGTGTGGCAAATTTGGAGAAATAATTATTTTTTTCACATGCATTGGAAATACATTTCATGCACCTCTGTTGGGTATTTAAATATCTAACCGATAGGCAGT